CCCTAAGAGCGATATCCTCGTCTATACTGATGGATCAAAGCTCCTGGACGGAAACGCTGGAGGTGGCTTCGTCATTTTCCAGTTAGATCGTAAAATTAGCTCGAAGGCTTTCCCACTGGGAAGTAATAAAGAGTCGTGTAATGCAGAAGCCCATGCTGCTCTTCGAGGGATTTAGGCAGCCGTCTCTCTCCCATCTGCTCGTTTCGCCAGTAACCTGTGGGTCTTTTTGGACAATATAGAAGTTTGCAGGAGGCTAGTAGTAAGTCCCATTGTTACCTCATCATCACAATCCACTTTCATCGAGATACAAAAAGTGGCTAAATCATGTCAAACTCGCCACCGGCTTCCTCATACCGCTGAGGGCCATGTCAAATACGATGGGTTCCAAGCCATTCTAGGATCGAAGGCAGTGAATTGGTTGACTCAAAGGCTAAGAAGGGTGCATTGGTTTCAAACCTCGACCCACCCAAACATTCTACCACATCACTCAAGAAATGTAACATCTCACCAAGGACCTATATAAGGGATATTTGGTGGAAAAAAAATATTCCTGCATCTTACGCTCAACTTAAAATCAAGCATGCCCCCTTATTTCTGAAGGAGCTTCTTCTAAGCCGGAAATCACTGGGCATCTTTTTAGCAGCTAGAACCGGACACGGAGACTTTACTGCTTATCACACTCGTTTTAATCACGCCGAAGCCAGACTTACCTGCCTATGCGGGTCACCAAAGATCACTACTCATTTTTTGTTCTGCCGTTTCCCCCGCCGTCACCGCGGAGGATGCCCTGCTGGATCTATCAACCAACTCCTTCCGGATTTAATCGGCACGTCGGAAGGAGCAATCTCTATGTCTAAATGGCTAGAAAATTCTAGGTTTTTCGAAGAAATCTGCCCATGGTGAGGGGCCGACTCACCTTTTCGTTTGTTTTGATTGGGTGCTCCATGAACAGAGCGGGGGAGAGGGACTGCTCGATCGCCAGTCTTGAGATAGTGGAGGTCTCATCTTTTTCTTTTCTTTTGTTTAAGCTTATCAATCATTTTCTGTACGCAGTTTCACGTAACGCGGCAAAGCTCTGTATTCTAGACTTTTAGTAGTCCCATGGTGTCTAGAGCTCCTGCTCTAGCGTCCTTTGCCCTTAGGGATAAAATTGCGCGTGCCTAATGGCCACGCGCAGTGATAGACGTTTAATAATATCATCATTATCATCATCACCACCATCCATGCGCTACCCGCCGGGCCTACCTTAGCTGAGCACAACACTTCTTTTATCTATCAGTCAACGGCACTCCCCAGCGCCCTGGACGGCACAAAAGAAGTCGGGCTAAGCTACCATATAGCAATCACGCTCTGTCAAGACTTTTCTGATATTTCAGCACGACCTTCGGGTAGGAGTTGGAAGGAGGCTAGAAAGGCAAAGGGTGAATTCTTCGAGGTATCCACAAATTTGCAGCACCCAGCTGGCCGTTCTCTTCGAACGCTTCGGAAGGGTCACTATGTCTTCGGATTTATTCCTAATGTCGGTATTAGAAGAGCTCCGCACCCAGTGGTTTTTGCAATTTTTCCCAGCTGCCATACACCCGCAAATAGCCATCGTTTCGTTGGCTTGAGAGGGGAGATAATGAAGGGCAAAGAGCTCCTCTTAGTGTATGATCGAATGAGGACTTGTGAGGGGTGGTACTGTTTGAGGGGAGCTGTATGGGAGGCATAGGAGGCATAGGAGGGGATATACTACTGGTATAGGTATCCTAGGCCTGTAGGCAGAGAGGATCTGCATGTCCTACATAGTCATAGACTCAGAAAGGATAATAAAATGAATTAACTAACCCTCATCCGTGAATACCCACCAAGGGAAACGTCTGCAAACCCCCAAGTTATCCAGACATGCCTCCATCAACCACTCACATTTCTCCACGCGGAATATGATCTGATGTTTCTCCATCCAAAGTAAAGTAGGTGCCCAGGCTACTCAAATTATACCAGAGAACACCACCAGGAGGCGGATCTCAACACCTTCCATCGTCGGCTTGTTTTTATAGTGTCAGCTGCACTCTCGCAAGTGAAGTCTTGGCGCGCACAAAGCTCAATTCGTAAAATTCTTATCAAAATTCGAAATTTCACGCCCGTCGAGAATGTATCCATCCTTTGCATCATCTTATGAACTTATCCTGATCCCTCTTACGTCCATCCCAAAGAACTATTTTCCAGATTTGTGCGCCACGCTTTGCTTCATCCGACGGGTATAAATATCGGCGTGGGCGTGTATTTGGTGGTCAACTGAGGCCAGAGAAAATCGGAGAGAGGTGTGGTCATTGGGATGAGGATGTACTTGGTCGTACTTGTAGACTTGATGAGACTTGGGTAGAAGTCAAATTCGTTGGGAGCGAAAAATCGACGTGGTGGAGTAATTTAATCATTGCCTTGTGGGCCAACTTCTTTGATATTGCAAAATTTGACTGAACTTGGCTCTGGGAGAATATTTCACCCCCACGTTCGTAGAGGACACCGCGTACAGGTGTTCAGTCTTGCCCTCCCAGCTCAGTCTACATAAACTACCCTAGGTGTTGGCGCTTACATTGACCCAACAAAGCAAATAAAAACCAGCATCTTATTATCCTGCGCTTGACGTTTTAATTTACATGAATATTGGCCTTTCGTTGTCTCTCATGATTTACAGATGTTACTCAATGTAGAACATAAAGCAAAGAAATAAATTTGGTAAGGAGGGAAATTGTTCACATCACTTGAAAGTTCTCGAGCTTTCATTATATGATCAGCTATTCAATGTATGAACTCCCTCCGCTTAAGCAAAAGCCCAAGATATGGTGGGATTGAAGATCTGAGCCCTGTAGAGCTCTGCCTGGTACTGCCAGAGGTGGCAATAGAAAAAATGGTCGGGGGACTTCTCTTCTCCGCATGGGCGGGTAACGATAGCGTTTTCTGTTATAGCTAGATAGCTGAATACTGTAAACGTTATTGGCTCAATCTCGTATTACAACTAAATCACTAAGGCTCTCTACTTGGGTTCATACAGAAAGACCGCCAGAGTGCAGCTTACACTACAAACACAAGCAAACGATGGAAGGTGCCGTGGTCCACCTCCTGGTGATGTTCTCTGGTATAATTTGAGTAGCCTGGGCACCTACTTTACTTTGGATGGAGAAACATCAGATCATATTCCGCGCGGAGAAATGTGAGTGGTTGATGGAGGCATGTCTGGATAAGTAAGGGTTTTTTGAGACGTTCCGCTGGGTGAGCAGTAGTGTCAACTCCTAGCTTTTTTTGGATAGGATGCTTCGTGGAAAAGGTGGCTAAATTCCACGGGTAAATAATGAGCTGAATGGCGATTCATTAAAGACAATATATCAATGATGTTACAAGGAATATAAGAGGCAAGAGGCACTATGAAAGGTGTGGCCTGGGTCAGAGAGGAGCTCAATGTCCTAGGTAGGCTATGACTCAAGTAGTACAATAAACAACGAATTCTTGGTGGGCATTCACGGATGAGGGTGGACTTCAGGTAATGAAAATGCTGCCATAACTTTGCAGTTGTATTTGCAAGTGAAATCCAAGGCATGAGTGCTCCAATTTAAAGTCAGGCATCTTATCTCTAATCTTTCTCTGATATTGTGTCATGGCTCGATAGCTGCATACCCAATTACGACCTGAAACAAAAAAATAAAGGATCATTCTCGCTGAGGGGCTGTAATCTCATCGTTGTTTCCTCCACTCGGCTAATGAAACAATAGCCATTTGCGGGTCTGTGGCTGCAGGGTTGAATGGCAAAATCCACTGGGTGCGGGGATTTCTTTATACAGACATCAGGTCGATATACGGAGATATAGCTATCCATCGGAACTGTTCAGAGACAGGCCAGCTGGTCATTACAGACCTTTGTATACCTGAGAGCATCCCACAACCTTCCTGATTTCATCCTAAATTCACCCATGATTTGTGTTGCAGGATAACCCGATGGTTGTGGAAGGATGTCAGAAAAATCTTGTCTAAGGGCATTTTTTCTGTGGTGGCCTAGCCAAGCATCCAAATATCATACCAGATATAGAGTTATTGAGTAGCTCGTGCAGTTTGGATGCTCTCTAAGCTAGTGTAGTAGGAAGTAAACATATGAGGAGATTACCAAGCTGACGGGTCGACATCTACTTCTCTTCAAAGCTGGAGAGTCTTTTTATGTACCTCGGAGGACTTTTGTTTGGCTGCCAATAGCTGGCATATGTCTTCGTATGACCAAGGCTTTTCAGGCTGCTGTTGTAGCGTTTGGAATAGTGTAATTCCTTCTCCTTCCTAGCATCATCATCGTCGTCGTCTTGATCGTCGCACGTGTTATCGGAAGAGTATCTGCGAAGGAGAGTGAGATAACTCAGCTCAAAGTTAAAAGTGCGATTCAATTTCGGCACCGCAGAGTCCACAGAGATCTGGAGGTTGGTAGGGAAGACCGCTGGCAGGTTTCTGAATTTCGTGCTCTATGGACCATGTCAGTTTGGGATTAGGAGAGTCTGTAATTTTCTAACATGGTCCTTCATATTCATAGACTCAGTAGGGACTTGAATTTAGTTCTGTTCTATTTCTAACATGACTATTGAAATACTAGCTACCTTCAGTCACTTCCCCACTCACCCCGGATTACGAGACGAGGTCCAAGTGCCCGTCCATGTTAGTAGCTCGCTTCTCTTCGGAAATTACCCGAACCAGTAGGGGAGGACCAAGTACCCCATAGTGCTTAAAGCATCGGAACAACATGCCGCCTAGTTTTGGTAAACCATAAGGGTTTTATCGTGTTCCATCATTTCCTCATCTACTGATAAGAGATACTTTCTAGTGATAACAATAATTACACAATACCCTCGACTACCGAAAACAAAATCAACTTTCCCTGTTGTTGGTAAAGTCCACCGTATCGAGAGCTGTAATCTATCATTGTATCAGACTTACCCCAAGCTCTAGAAGAAAAAAGAAAAAAACCTCGCACTTTCCAGCTTGGGATGAAGAAAGTAGGTCTGGACCTAAAGAGTAGTAATGACAATAGTCCAGTCGCGGACTCACCGCAACCTTTAGTTCAAAAGAAAAAGCGGGCTAAAAAGCCTAAAGTAAAGACGGGTTGTCGAACATGCAAGGTAAATAAATGAACCAAATTCTACTACCTAGTTGACACAGCATAGATCCGTCGGGTTAAGTGTGATGAAACGAGGTAAATAAAGCTTGCACCACATGCCGTGATCATGTCCTAGACAAGATATTAAACATATTGTGCCTACTTCCCATCATCTGTTGAGTAACAAAAAGATTATTCTACTCCTTGCTTCTAAAAGAGCTCTAGTTGGAAGTACATTTACTGATTTTCTTTCTTATACAGACCGTAAGATTCCCCGTTCATCAATGGATAAATATGTGGAGAGTTTCTCAAGTGAGAGTAATTCCTAATAATCTTACATATCCAGTCTTGATCTAATTTCTGACGCTCCACTGTTGACTGCTAATATTTATCTGATTTCAGAGAATGCCTCAGGTTGGTTTCACTATCGTCGACAGGCAGTCTACTAATAGTGGAGTAGATGCCTCAAGTATGGAATAGGATACTGTGATGGATATGAAGCTGTCACAAAGTCGGAAGCCTCCCAAAATAATAGAGTTTTCCGATTGCAGCCTAACATTGTCCCTAAGCCAGCTCTAAGAGGAGATCCAGTGATAGAAGTTTTTGGTAGCCAAGATGAATTTACATGTTTCCGAACATATTGCGAAGAAGTCGCACCGCGGCTTTCTTTATCAAACCAATCTATGTGGCAGCAATTACTTCTTCAAGCAGGTCAAAATTATCCCTTCATACGCCATGCCATTATCGCTATGGGAGCTCTGAACCGGGCCCTGCAAGATGTAGGAATGGGAATTATTCAACTAAGGCAGAGAAATTATATGGAGGCGAATGTTCCCAAAAAAGATCTATCTTTAAGGTTAAGTACTTTCGCTCTGGAGCATTATGGTAAATTTTTGAGGGGTGCTAAAGGTCAATTATCAATGTCAACGAAAAAAGATGAAGCTAGAAAAGCCCTAATAACCTGTATACTGGTAGTTTGCATAGAAACAATGCAGTATCACCATGGAAACGCAATCATACACGCGCAATATGGACTCCGACTCATGATGGAGTTCACTAATCGCATTGTTGGTGCAAGGCAAATAGATGGATTATCGTCTCCAGAACCAACAGTCATTGAAGACGAACTTGTCCAACAATTTCAGAGGCTGGAGTTGCAAGTAATGGCAACCTATGACGCGAGAACACCTGAAGATCATTTTAGACTGAAGAAAGAAGGTTCCCTGACCCTTCAGAATATGCCGGCTGCCTTCCTGACCATTGAGCAAGCAAGACTTTATCTAGACCTCATTATGCGACGGGCTCACCATCTCATGGGGACTTCGGCCGCTTATCGCCCCAGTTATGATAGCCACGCTGGAAACACCAAGCGAAATCCGGAAACAAATTTTACTGTTCCGGAGATGACCTATACAACCTGGGCTGATGGTGTCCCGGATGAGTATCACATCGAACAGGAGCTGTATGAAGCAGAGAATCGTCGCTGGTCGAAAGCCTTTGAACCAATGTTCCGCATGGCTCTAGCTAACATTAATCATTCAAAATCCATACCAATACTCTTGATGAGAATACATTCCCTCAATTGTACCATAAGACTCGGTACTCAAATGGCCTCTTCAGAACTCGTATTTGACAAGTACTATAACCAATTTGAAGAGGTTCTCAAGTATTCTGAAATTTTACTCAACCATCCAGATGGCCTCCACTACTTTGGTGCAGGTAACCTAAATATGGATATTGGCCTAATTTTTCCTCTTATGACTGCAGGTCTAAGTTGTCGTGATCGATATCTTCGTCGCAAAAGCATTAGACTACTCACCAGTCGATCGTGGCGCGAAGGTCAATGGGGTAGTACAGGCTCTGCTATTATTGCTATTTGGTTAATGGAAGTTGAGGAGAACGGTGTCGAGGGCGATTTTATACCAGAGTGGGCGCGTGCTAAACTTACTGCAATGGTAGCGGACTTCTGTAACCGCACTTTGCATCTGTGCTGTATACGCGGAACTGGCGAGAACGCTACTTATATTCAGACTAATCGAAGTTGTGACGGTACCATGTGAAAAATTTACAGGCATTTCAAGAGCTCAGGATCTTGAAAGCGCCCAGTGACAATAGACTGTATTCAGTGGTACATCACAGGTTTGGTAGTAGACCCCAGTACAAATGAGATTTCACTGTAAACACGTTCCATTGAAAGCTTTCTTGTGTCCGGTCTAAGTGGCTAGTTTAGGTATTGCTTGTGGCCTGTTGTTATCGGTAAACGAAACCAGAGTTGAATATGCACCTCATAACTGGCGTAGCACTTTAGCTGGACATGTATTTTTAACTTCTAAAGCCCTAGCCCTCGGCATATAATTTCTTCTGGGTAAAAGGGCGGATCCTAGGAATTGATTGAGTTGGTATCTTGCTAAGTACTTGGTTAATTGGATGGAAATGCACGTATCCTTCCGTAATAAGATGCTGTTAGGAAGGCAAAACTTAACATCTGCACGCGTTGTCCCCTAGCAACCTGGGAGTGAAATATTCTCCCAGAGCTAACTTCAATCAAATCTAGTAATACCGAACAAGTTGGCCCACGAGGAAATGATTCAAAATACTCCACCTCGTAAGTTTTTGGCTCCAAAAAAGATAAAAAATCTCAGGCCTCAGCCGCTCACTAAATATACGCCCACGACAACCCTAATACCCTCAGGAGGATAAAAGTCGTGGCGCACAAATCTGGCAGGCAGATCTTTGGCAAGGAAGTGAGAGATATATAGATAGATAGTCAACATGATACCAAGGACATATACAATTTTGATGAGGGTTAGTCATAGATTTTGGAAGAAGAGCTTTTCAGGTTGAGCATTACGCGCTACGCGGCTTTGTCTGTGAAAGTGCAGCTGGCTCTATAAGCAAGGTTAATTGGATGGTGCGGCGGTACATTGTTTTGGCTGGTCTTGTAAGTAAAGTTTGGATAGCTCGGATACATATTCAGCTACAGACAGGAGATCGCTAGTTCGAATACGGCAAAAGATAACCACAGTTCTCGCGGCGCTGGTATGAGTGGATGACGAGGGTTTGCTTTGATAATCAAAGGTTTTGAAAATTATTTCGGTGGGCACTAACGTAGGAGGGTCGACTGTGTGAGGAAACATAATTCAGTGGTATTTACGAGTGAAACCTGGGGTACGAAAGTCTCGACCGTCAAAAAAATTATCCAACGAGTGTGCATAGTACTAGTCAAGTGTCATGGCCAGTTGCAACAAAATGAACTTCTAATATAAGAGTATCCATGACTTGCGCGTCTTGCATTGCATTCCTATTTTCCAATAAGATCGCATCTTGAGTCTGAAAGGAAATCAGTGTTATTGACTTCCACCCCATTCAATGTTCTTTAGATATGAAAATTTACCCGTCCTCAAAAAGCGGAGAACGCTTCTGCTACGCACTCTCCCCTCCTGTGCCCCTAGCTTTGGGTATTTTTTTTCAGTGACGCCGGTGACAACCTTGTGAGTGTGTGTTTATTGTACTACTTGAGTCTATGACTATCCAGCACATTGGGCTCCTCTCTGACTCAGGCCACATCTTTTACAGTGCTCCTTGCCTCTCATGTTTCTTGAAAGATCATTGGTATATTCTCTTTGATGAATAGCCATTCAGCTGAGTGTTTACCCGTGGAATTCGGCCACCTTCTCCACGGGACCTTCTACCCAAAAAAAAAATGGTAGCTATGGAAACTGCGTGCGCGGGAAAAAGTCTCAAAAAACTTGCAGCTCCAGCCAGACGAGGCCGACTTGTTCCAATCCACCATCTCCGTATCGGGTGCTGGGTACGCTCCGGAAACTCATCGGATGGCTTCTCCTCCATGATCAAAGGTTTGGTGATGAGTAGGACTCCGATCCTACCATCTGATGTGATCGTGGTTCGCTTCATGATAATGGTGATAGGGAATTGTGTTGAGAGATGAAGACGATACAGACGGCGAAAGCGATTAGGAATCCTCATCGAAGTGAGAACTTTGTTATCCAATCTTGACTCTGCAGACTCTACAGTGAGAGCCGGAGGTTCGTAGGGGTGATAACCTTAAATTAGTAACTAGCCATCAAACAAAACGCCTGTACAAAGGACTACGATCCATCCTTGTCTGCATTTTATTTCAAGTTCGAAGAGTTCAGAGTAGAACGTTTTGCCGCGAAAGATCAATTCAATATTACAACGTCATTTAGTCATTCAAGTCATAGAGCCTGTCCCTCACTGTCTATGAAAGCAAAGTTAAAAACTATCCAATTGGAATTTAAAATGTAGCTAGTATCTCATATAGATTGTAGGAGTCTTCCATAGTCATTGACTCAGTTAGGACTAGGGGGACTATTCTCAACACCTGTCATTGGTATCCCCTGCAGACCTCCAGCTTTCACTGTAGAGTCTGCAGAGCCGAGGTTGAGTAGTAACAGAGTCCTCACTTCGATGAGGATTCCCAATCGCTCACGCCGTCTGTATCGTCTTCACCTCTCAACACAATTCCCTATCACCATTATCATGAAGCGAACCACGATCACATCAGATGGTAGGATCGGAGTCCTACTCATCACCAAACCTTTGATCATGGAGGAGAAGCCATCCGATGAGTTTCCGGAGCGTACCCAGCACCCGATACGGAGATGGTGGATTGGAACAAGTCGGCCTCGTCTGGCTGGAGCTGCAAGTTTTTTGAGACTTTTTCCCGCGCACGCAGTTTCCATAGCTACCATTTTTTATTTTGGGTAGAAGGTCCCGTGGAGAAGGTGGCCGAATTCCACGGGCTAACACCGAGCTGAATGGCTATTCATCAAAGGGAATATACCATTGATCTTTCAAGAAACATGAGAGGCAAGGAGCACTGTAAAAGGTGTGGCCTGAGTCAGAGAGGAGCCCAATGTGCTGGATAGTCATAGACTCAAGTAGTACAATAAACACACACTCATAAGGTTAGGACTAAAATAAAAATATCATCTAATCTAATCTACTCATGAAAGTAAGAGTTGTCTAAAAATACCACCTCCAGATACTCAGTTTCAACTAATTATCCGACAATCTAGCCCAACTTCAAATCCTGATGCTGCGCACTTGTAATAAGTATGCACCTCTTAACGGAGTTTGTAGCTTAAAAATAATTCGGGCTGAAGATAAGTCTCATTATTGTTTACTGATGTGTTTCTCTTTCATCTGTAAGTCAAGCTGCTAAGTTTCTGGAGTCTCAAAATCAAATTTCCCTTAGTGTGAGAGATGGCATCCTTTTGAACTCGGTCGCCTACAACCTTAAAACGATTGCCTCCAGCTTTCATCGGTTTTTATAAAAATGTCACGTCCAAGTTTGGTTAATCAGTCACCGAATGTTCGGTCTCAAGCGGTGCATCGTACCTCTGATCAGGCCGCGAAGACAACAGTAACTTTACCGCCATACGACTCTCAATCCTATCCCCTTTCTCTGGCGGCTAAACGCAAGCTGGAAGAACTCTATTTGCACCATGACTATACTAAATATAAGAAAAATATCAAAGATGCAGCTAATATACTAACCAAGGCGACATACGAATGCAATGACCGATTATGGCAAAGAAAGCAGAAACTGGGTGCACTTGAAGAAAGATTAAATTCTCAGGATAATATGAAAGAGAAGGTAGAAGGGAAGCACAAAAAAGAAGAGGAAAAGACTCAGGAATTACAAAAGAAAGTTGACCACATCACGGTTAGAGCTGAGCAGGCATTAAGAGACTTAATCGATCTCGGAGATGAACTAAGTATTCAACCTAGTATAATGCAAGAAGTTGCTGAAAAGGTAAATTCGCTGCCTGCTAATACCCAGACCCAGAAGCGACGATCTGATTCTCAAGGGGATTCTTCTGAGTCTGAATCCCTTACACACCCTGCGGGTGTGCGATGTGTTGATATTCTTCGAGACATCAAGGAAAAGCACGCGAATGAATATGAAAACAAAAGCATGCGAGAGAGGTATGAGCTCTAATTTTTTTGATTCTGAGGCTAACATCATTTAGATATGCCGAAAATAACGAGTATGCAAACTTTAAAGGTATGATTCATGATGCACAAAATCAAGGCCCTAACGCTCGAGTCCTTGAACATCCGAAATTTTGGTTCCCTGTAAAAGCATTAGATAGCAACAGCTCTTCTCACAAAAGCCAAATAAATCGGGATAATGATGAAGATGATGACGAAATAGTCATGACTGGCGTGACGACAAGCCTTAAGTGCTCATTCACACTGCAATACTTTGAAGAGCCATACAGCAACAAGAAATGTAGCCACACCTATGAAAAATCTGCAATTTTGGATTACCTGAGGACCGAAGGCGCAACTAATAGTCAGCCCAGTCGACGTGGACAGAACAAGGGTCCTCGAACGATTACTTGTCCAACTCCAGGATGTGCCACGGTATGTCAACCTTAATTAATATTATTTTGTATCTGATACAGTCTCCAGACACTTACGCCCGATGACTTTTTTCTGGATGAACGCATTAAACAGCAAGTAATTAAGGCGAAGAAGCACGAGGCTTTGGACGATGAAGACGATTCAGATATCGATGAGTCTTGAGTTACTGAAATAATATTCTCAAATTCAGGTTTAACATAGAACTTCGCATGGACCCCGAAACGCTTCTTTCCTCGAGTATTTGTACTAGAATGCGGGAGCATGAAGGTGCCAATTATTATAAAATCTATTGGATTGACTGTGACCGGATTCTACCCGTCCAAAAGTAGAAAAGTATACCAGCCAATATTTACAAGTACTTAATAATAAACAGAAAAGAACTATGTAATTCATAATTTGATTTTTTTCATATCCTAATGGAGAGGTTTTTTGAGCCTTCAATTCTAAACCTATAGGAGGCTTGTTATACATCCACAGCTTTACTACAAAAACCACAAGTTTGAATCTTGTAACATATTTTACAAGGCAACAGGAATCATGAATCTTTCGTTACAGTTAACATTGATTGAGAATTAAATATAGAGCTAAAATTAGAAACTATGTTCGAGTTTCCCATGCATCATACAAAAGGCTGTCATATCTGTTGTCTAGAGTCAGAAATTCTGCTTATTCATGTAAGCAGAGCGAGTTTGATTACACAATTTTCCAATACAGCTCATAGATCTGATCTGTAATATGAGGGCTTTCATGCTAACATTTTCAATGTAATGCTGTGCTACATGTATCTATATCAAGATTAAAGAATAAATTTGATTTGTATGGAAATAATATTTTTGTCGGAATGACTATGGGATGGTTTCACAATTGATTGTGTTAGTTACGTTCAGATTGATGTTATTTGTGAGTTGGTTCTTCTTTTATTCATGTTTGTAGATGACCATGCAAATATAGAACCGTCATAAATTCGTAGCGTTATTTGTAAAAGAATGCGAGATATGAATAATGAATGAAAGTTTATTTATGACGGGCACAATCTCTGCACTCAAAGAGCATGACACGGAAAGGGCGATTCCTTCACCGGCCACTATATACGACGATAACTCAGTTTGACATTTGGACTACTCATGTAGTGGGTAGATTCGCTGATACCACTCGAGACCTTGGTACTAGGGACTTTCACCCTTCCCTCAACCGTTAATATCCACCGAAGGGAAAACATGAAAACCTTTGGCTTCTCTAACATGCCTTTGCCATCTTGTATATAGCCGACGCGCGAGATATGGCCGCACAGTCCTCCCTTTCTCGAGTGAGGTAGGTATCCAGGCTACCCAGACTGTAATTCGGGAAAATGACGAATAGGAGGCGGACCAAAACACCTTCCATCGTTGCCTGTATTTAGTGTCGGTAGCACTATCCTAAATCATTGCCTCGGAGCCCATAGACTCCCTTAAGTCAAAAATACTTCAAATGTGCGTCCCAGCATACCCATTTGGGAAATCTTCACTCGTTCGTCCCACGTCCCAGCTGCTTGTCCTCCCTCAAGTCGTGAAGCCCCATCACAGCAACGGTCCCCCATAGACCAAGACCCGAGCTTTGCAGTTTATGACGTGATTTCCTCCTCGCGGGTATACATAGCATCGTAATTTTTTATTAGGAGATGGCCAGTTTTTGATGAGGCAAATGCGCGATTGCAGTTGGGGTAACTCCATTATCGGTATTTGAGGTGGAGGACTCGTGATAGAATAATAGGTCAAGCATTTGTCAAGGAGTCGTCGATTTTTGATATGCTTGCGAGTGCTTTCGACTTCGATTTGGATAATTCTTCTTGGCTATCCCAGGTATGCAGAGCATATTGAGCGATTACACCGGCACCACTGGAAGGTGAAGAATTCGTCTTTGCCGGCGAATGCGAGACCTGAGTGCTCTTCTTTTAAATTTATTCTGTCACGTGTGACTTTTCTCTTACACTGTGTCATTGCTAATAAGCTGCAAGCATGTTAGCAATCTTGTGCAAGCATAAGTCTGAACCCAGTCCAGAAGCGAAAGTATGATCTACACAGAGATATTTCGGTCTAATAATGATGATCAGGGGAGGGCATTGACGGAACACCTGTACGCGGTGTCCCCTACAAACCTGGGAGTGAAATATTCCCCCAGAACCAATTTCAGCTAATTTTACTGAAAGGCTATGCTGAGCTAGAATGACGTATCGTTAGGATGAAGGAATGGAAGGAGGTAGCTATGGCTTTAAGAGAGGTGAAGTTTGTGTGTTATATTCTTAGGACTTGGATCTATCGACGAACTTGAGGACGTCCCTTGCTACCCTCAAGTGTGTAACTAATATGGCCATTGTTTGAATTTCCTATTGAATGAATTGCTTATCTTATCTACGTGACAGTGTGGCTTCTGGTTGGTCAGTTTATGATCACAATGATTTCATGCTGGTTGTTGTATTTTTAAAGTCCCGAGCTAAAGTAAAAAGCTCTACATCCCACTGTTGTTACAGGACCAGTAGAGCTGGCAAGGATCACTGTTTGTTGTTGTTGTTTTATTAAAGTCCTAAGCTAAAGCTCCAAATCCACTATGAGTACAGGACCGGTGTTCACAGCCAGAACCACATCTAAGACATACCCAGCTTGATTCCACCGCATGAACCACCACAAAACCAGCGGTAAGTTAAAAATATACGCCGCCGTAAACTCCTTCCCCCATAACCGACAAAAGAAGAAGATAAATTGCAAAGAAATTAGAACTAGAAGCAATACTTCTCGCCTCGATTCCAGTTTAGTCAGGTTTAGTTTCCTGACGAGTTATATTCGATCTCCACTGAGAGTAGGAGATGGATACACAGGAGAATACCCAAAACAATTGGTATCCTGCGCAAATATTTTGAAGCTCTCAAAGCACTTAGGCCCGAGTAGCTTGTGTAAGAAGGCACTGTTGGTATAACGGGGTTCACTTGGTTTAATGCCTCAAAAGTGCTAAAAACAAGTGGTATATTCTGTCTATCTTCTCTTGTATCCCTTCTCAAGCATTAATATCTAAAGTACGAAATAAAGCTTGGCGCCCTAATTATATCACGTGATACGCTGACCAATACTTTTGGAAGTAAACGTTTAATACAAGCCCTTTATCCCTACGCCATTCACCTGTGAACCGACAGGCACTGTGTGACATTGACCCTCTGATTCGACGCGTGATATTTGCGTTGAGTCGACAATGTATGAAGTGGGTAGGGGTGATTTCCTCCCCACAGATGCACTCTGTGTTAGCGTGTGAATTGTTGAAGCGACGATGGTAAGCCGCGAAATTGCCGTGGCCCGTACGGGCTGCAATGAGATGTCGTAACTGTAGCCTGGAAAGCCCCAGCTCTAGTGGTTTGCGACGGCGCATGAGCAGATCTAGTTCACGATAACGTGACGAGCAGGTTTTATTCCACCAGATGTCGAGCAAAGTCTGTCGTTGGCGATGCAATTTTTGGTGTAAAAATGCTGTCGTGGTGGTTGCTGGCTCAGTTTCCACGCTGGGAAGCGTTTGTAGGGCGGATTTGGCCGCTGCGTCTGCTTCCTCATTTCCATGTATTCTCGAGTGTCCTGCTACCCACTTTATTCTTACCTGAGCTAGCCCAGATAATTCGCAAAACTTTCGTACTTCCTCGTGGCTGGTCGAGGACCTGCCCGTGCTCAGTGCATTTATCGCATGTCGACTATCCATCAACACATTAATACACTGCGTCGTTCCCTTTGCCAGGTACTCCTTCCCTCTTAGGTGACCCAACGCTGCTTTAAGAGCTTCCTGTGCCCCCATAATCTCTGCATCTAAAGCCTCTCCACCGTGCTTTATGCCACTTCTTTTAGAAAAGTTTTCCATACAGATTTTAGACAAACCCCCAAGCTGAGCGTCCCTTTCCCTCCGGTGCTCCGTCCGAGTAAGCCCAGATTTCTGACTTTGGCACATTAGTGATACAAAGTTTACAGGCTTCTACTTGGTCTTTTCTCGAACCAACCTTCGAGCCCGGCCGCAATTGATAAAATGGTGAGGCAAGAGGTTCCACGGCCTCTGCCTCTGGTAGCTGTCTATAAGCACGCTGAGCCCGTGACATTTGAATTTCAGGACGCGCAGATTTTAGACTGTGCTTCTTATATTTCCGCGTACCGACACTTGGGCAAACTGCAGCACGGATCCTGAGCGGATGGTGGTCGTCGAGTGTTTGCATTCTAGCAGAGAGGCGAAATCGGTTTCCTTCAAGAATGATTTTCCCGGTTGATATTCCTCCTTCCCTATGTAATACGGCGTTGGGGGTTGTCCTCATTACCGGTAGTGCTGACCTGAGACCCATTAAGACAGCCTTATCAATCATACTACATAGGCCAGCAGTGGGCGGTGTGGCCATCACTTGTACTGTTGGTCGTCTGAGGCCAGGCCACTAGACGTCAGCTCCGTATGTTGCAATTGGGACGATACATGTGTCGATCGCTTTAACCAACGCCTCAGGAGCGGCTCCTCGGTAGGCTGTATTGAAGCGACGCATGTGCTGTGCAATTTTCAACGCTTTGCCACACCAGGTTGTGACGTAGTGATTGAAGTTTAGTCGAGGATCGAGGTACACACCAAGCCAGTGGACATTTTGCGACGGTTCTATGAGGGTTCCGTTGACATAAATTCCAGTCGATGTTTAGCGGTATCGTCCGGGGAATTGTGCGACTTCGGACTTGTCTGTATCAAAAGCGACGGCATTATTTCGTGCCCAGTCTAGTAGATTATTGACCTCGTCCTGTGCTGCGGCTGCAGACTCTCCAATCGTCCGGCCAAATCCAAGGATACCAATATCGTCAGCGTAGCTAAACCTTAGACCCGGGGTTCCACTTCGCATGAGCTCTGCCATATATAGAAGGGAGAGAAGTGGCGAGATCGGTGAGCCCTGCGGAACTCCGCACATTAGCTCTCTCTTGGCAGTGACTCCTCCAGAGTATCGCACTTGAGCCATCCGATTGGCGAGGAAGGAGCTAGTCCATTTGAGAATAGACTCCGGCCATCCCTGCTCCTGCATCCTCCTTACTAATCGATTATGGAGTACCGCGTCGAATGCTCCTTGAACGTCCAACGTTACAAAAGTAGCTGCCCATCCTTGTGAATTTTCCTCTTTGATGTCGTGGACCACA